TTTTTTTTTTTTTTTTTTTTTTTGAATAATAGGCCTATCCAATTAGATTTTTGTAGTTATACGAGTACGAGGTACAAACATGGAATAGATATTTAAGAGAATATTGTCTTATTCACTAATTAACGCTGAAATAAATAAAAAAGTAAAGTAAATAAAAAGGGTTAATAAAGGAAACTAAGTTCATCAAAATGATATATTTTGAAAGTTTCCACAAGGAACCACTAATAGAAATCCAAGCATTAGTATAATAGAAGACAAAATAGTGGTCCCAAATGATCCTTGTTTTTTAATTAAATAAAAAATAAGGAAGACTGTTTTATTATTTATTTTTGCATTTCTGTTTTTAATTTATAAACATTTTGATTAAAATTATTATATTTTATTTGAAGAGTTGGAGGACATGTTGGCGATGGTCGAATGATGAGCTGACATACGAGCTATATTAAGGGCATCTCCATGTGCCCACACACCCATTTTAAAAGCGACATCTCTTTATTTTCTCATTTAATGTGGTGTTTCAAAAAAATTTAAATCTCCCCCACCTAATGTTTCTCCAAATTTCCACCAAATTTTGCCTTTTCTTTTTATTTTCATTTCATTTCGTAAACAAATAATTTGTATTTGTTTGTTTGGGGTTTTCTTTTTCCTTGCCTTTTTGCAAATGGGTGGAAAGGAGTTGACTGTGTGGGCCCATTGGTGGGAACAAAAGGAGGGGAAGGACCCCTCAATGGAAACACTACAAACCCCTCTCTATAATAAAAAAATACGCGCTCTATTAACCCTTCTATCTTAGAACATTCGAGTAAATGAAAGGTAATGAAAATTATATATTTTTCATTTTTAGAGGTGAAGAGTAAATTCTGCGATCATCTCATAGAGATGTAGAAGAACGTTTGGGTCACCAGGTGTCAAATCTGAATTTTGAATCTTTGGGACCAATAAAATTGTTATGGTAGTAACATATTATCATAAATCAAATGAAAAAGAATATAAATAAATTATTGTGGCAATAAACGGTTTTGAAGGGAATATAATTGAAGTATTATGATAATGATGATGATCCTTATCCTGTTAAGCTTATTTCGTTGGTAGACATTTTGCCGACCAATTTTCTGACCATTCATCACCAATCATATCCAAACTTTCAATCAGCCCTCCTTTTTTTTTTTTTTTTTTTTTTTTTTTTTTTTTTTTTTTTTT